CTTGCTTCCTCCCTTTGCTTCATCACCCTTCCCACTGACTGCAGAGTAAGCAAGGATGCTGGGAACAGGCAGAGCAGAATTGTTAGGCTGGGGAGAGAAAAGCTAGCACAGGGTTAGTACCAGACAGTAAACATATCACATAGTGAGAGCACAGCCACAGATGGACATGCCTATCCAAGACCTTCTGTGTGATTAAGTGATGTTGGCCAGCCCTGCAGGTGACCAAGTGAGCATGCAAGGCTGGCAGACACTCTTAAAGTCTTTGGACTAGTGACTAATAAAAACACAAAAGGAAGGTGTACAGCAAAAGTATTACTTTAAAAAGAATTGGTGATCCGTATGGTAGAGAAAACATGGCACAGGCTGGGCCCTGGAAGTGTTGAAACAAGACAAACACTTATGTGGAAAGACAGACTAATCTGGATTGCCCATGCAACAAGAAAATCAAGGAGGAAATGCTATAAGCATTTCCACTACTTTCCCAGACAAAACCTATCATAGGCAGTATTTGCTTTGCATACACCGGGATGCTTTTCCTGTGCCCTAAAGTGATACTGGGTATTTCTGATCACATTATGGACCTTAGTCCTCTCCATCTCTCAGCTGAGAGTAGTCCTAGGAGTCAGGCAAGTCCATTTCTCACCCCACCTGTGGTGGCATACCAAGTATGAACACCTGAAATCCCTTTGACAGTCATTCTTCAGTCTCGGAGGGCTTTCTATGTCTGGGTTGTTTGCAAGAGGATTTCATTTACAGGTCACTGCAACAGCTTCAGCCTTTGCTGAACTGAGCAATAAATGCCAGGAGCCTGCCTTAGTCTTTCAATAGTCTTACCAGAACCTTCTCGTGGCCCAAATCCCATCTAGTGAGCAGATCTCAGACATCTGATTAAAAACTGGGCCAAATGCCCTGCAAAAGCAGGTGTGAAACCAAACTTCTAAGACTGAGTAGTAAGCACTTACCAGTCTCTTCCATGTTGAAATTTAAGATCCGTTACCATTAGTATTCCTCACGAACCCACTTCCACATGTGCCATCCTCCAGCAACTCCTCTTACTCAATACAGTTTACTCACACACATCACACATTTTTCACGTTTTTCCTGCTCTAAACTCTTCTTCGAGTCCTATTTTCCTAACTTTTTCTCCTCCCAGCTTCTCTCCTGTCTCCTAAAAAGCAGTCGTCACTGGTATATGTGTAATTTCCCAGCCCCCCAGTACAGGCAACACCAATATGATTTTTCAGACTGACAGAAAGATTTTCCATTAAAAAGACAAAGCAAAGAAACAAGCACTGACCTGATATTTTCTACACCTCATTTTCTTTCCTATATTGATACAAAATGGGTAGGGGAAGGGGCATACTCTCTTAAATACAAAACCTAGCAGCTTAAGAAGTCCACAACAGGAAAGATAATAACTTTTGGGGGATTTTATAATATCCTTTACCCTTACCTACTGCTTATCAATACCAATATTGTCATACCCACCATAAATCCAGTAAGCCCATCCTCTCAGCCTTGCTGCCTGATACTTCTCTCTGTGACTTGGTGTGTCTTTAATGAGATCACATAATTCTTAGAGCAGCAACTTTGTGTTTTCACTTTTACAGGAAATTGCTTGGCTCTTTGAGGGGCTGATGAAATGACAAACACAGTAATAACAAAACAACTTATTCACTTCAACAGGAATTGCAGAGAAGCACTGTTGAATCAAACACACCAGAGTGAAAGTACATGATCGATTTGAAAGGAAACAAAATCTTCTGTGCAGGAAATACTGATGAAAACTGTTCATGAATAATTTTGAATTTGAGGATCAAAAAATCCTAACATTTGTCAGTTTTGCTGTTGTTGGAAGGAAAGGTCTGTCAGAGGATGCAAGCAAAAGAAAGAAGTGGAAAAAGCTGGCTTTTATCAGATGAACCAAAGGAGAGGAAAGTGTCTGAAACCTTGGCTCTAGAAGCTTGCTTTAACTTACGCCTTTTGGTCCTCGTAACGTGAACTCAAATGATTTACCCTTCTGATTCTAATTTCAGCTTCTGTGGGTGAATTTCATTCACAGTAAATTAGATTAGTCACATCTAGTGATACTAAGTGGGAATCATTTCTGGGTTGAGACTTTGGGGCCTGGTCTATACAAAATGAGGCCCTGTGTGCCACAGCTTAAGTTACCACTCCTGTTACTGGGAACAGTCCAGTCTATAAATGAGTGTGGAGCAGTTCAGCTAATGCTAAATTATGCTGAAATTAAGTGTTCTTTTGGGCCTGCTCACTCTAAACTGTACTTCTGTTAATTTTTGGAGCTGAGACATCAAGTGTTAAATTCAGATATCCACGTTTACCTCTACTGCCATCTAGAACACCACAGGATATCCTTCTGAGCCTCTAACTCCTGGACCAAAAAGACATAGGTTCTGTGCTAAATCTGCCCATCCTACTGGGTGTCCTGAGCTCTCCATGGCATCTCAAGTGGCATGAGAGCTGTGTGTTGAAACACTGACCTCAGCCCCTGGGCCACATGTGGAGACACCTAGATGTACAAGATGGACTTTTTTTTTTTTTTTTACTTTAAAACACTACAGCTAATTTATGTTCAAAATAATTTTTACTGCTGAGACGTGAAGGATAGGCCTTTTTCCTGCTCCAGCATGGGCTCCTCTCTCCATGGGGCCACAGGTCCTGCAAGGAGCTGCTCCAGCGCAGGCTTCCCACAGGGTCACAGTCTCCTTTGGGCTTTCGCTGTGCTCTGGCATGGGGTCCTCCCTAGGCTGCAGGTGGAGATCTGCTCCACCATGGACCTTCATGGACTGCAGGGGCATAGCTGCCCCACCATGGTCTGCACCATGGGCTGCAGGGGAGTATATGGCACCCGGAGCACCTCCTCCCTCCTTCACTGACCTTGGTGTCTGCAGGGCTGTTTCTCTCACATATTCTCACTCCTCTCTCTGGCTGAAGTTGCACAAGTTCTCTCCCCCCCTTCTTATCTATGTTATCCCAGAGGTGCTACCACCATCACTGATGGGCTCAGCCTTGGCCCAGCAGGTCTTGGAGCAGGCTGGCATTGGCACTGTCAGACACAGGCGAATCCTCTAGCAGCTTCTCACAGAAGCCACCTGCCCTCCTGCTACCAAAACCTTGCCACAGAAACCCAACACAGGAGAAAACACCAAAGAGCTTAAAGACCAAGTAAACAAAGTGGCTTGTCCACAGTTTAGGAACACCAGTGAAAATGTGCATATTTTAAGGGGAAAGCTGTGTGTGCTGCAAGTGCCTCTTGGGTTTGTGGTTTTGCTGTAGCAAAATAATATAACCACTGCAACTGGCCTTTCTCCAAGCAGGAGGAGCAAACCAATGTTTTTTAGAGGCAGCCTGTTACAACATGAGTAGGATGTACCAGTTACTGAAGCCCTTGAAAGTTTAGGAAACCTGTTCAGCCTTTTTTCTTAAACTGGCATTATACCAGAATACTTTGTAATCCACTTTTCAGTGCAAGGGAACCAATGCACTAGGCATCACTAAATACATACTTAAAACTCAGCCAAAACAAAATATATCACTTACCTGGTGTAATATGACTTCATGATAAAGGACTTAGAGCAACCTGATCTAGTGGAAGACTGTTCCATGGCAGGGGGTTGGAACTAAATGTTGTTTAAGGTCCCTTCCAACCCAAACCGTTCTGTTGATTCTGTGACTCTGTGACCTGGATAGATGTTTGTTATACTTTGTGTTCCTTAGGATCGGTTTTGACAATGTACTGCACTTGGAAAATGGAAATGCTCAATTTAAACTGACCCTTAACATACAGTTAAGGGAAACATTTCACATAGGTTTTAAGTATTGATCAACCTTTAAATGAAACTGTACAAAAGTTAAAGGGGAAACTATAGTATGCTTAGGAAAGGAACCACCTAAGCCAACTTTAGTCAAGCATCCTAAAATCAAGCATTTAATCTAAGCTACTTGCATAGATTCCATTTACATTCAGTGGTGAGAGGTAAGTGGGTAGTAAGTAGCTTCAGGGGTAACTCAACAGACCTGTTATAAACACATAATTTAGGATAAAATGAAGTAGTGTTTGTAGGTGCCCCCCTCTGCTGATGTAAGGGGAAGACTAGAACACTGCTGCAGTAGATACTTAACTTCTAAATGATTAAATGAGGTGTAATTAATCCTTTCCTTATGTGCTAAATATAAATTATATATAAAAGGTGAAAGGAGGATAAAACAGATCTATCTTGTATATTTGTCTACAAACAAGGCTAAATACTAATGGAATAAATGTGGGCTTCATTGTTACCGGATTAAGAAAGAAAAAAGATGAAATTTCTTATCAGCAATATTTATGTAGTGAAGTTAGATCATAAATCCAAAATAGCATTGGTGCTGGATATTTAGTAGTATAACTGAGGTCATAACTTGTCCCTCTGTAGTTTAAATAGACCAAAGATGATGCACAACAGTTTTTTCCAGTTTCTATTCAAAGCTGAATTTCACCCACAGTAAATTAGAATTCTCTGGCAACTCGCCCATAACCTTTAAACTTTTCTGGTTGATGATTTTAATACAAAAAGGCTTTTTATCAGTAAATTGTGTCTGGATTGGAACCAAACTCTGACTCCTACTCTTTCTCCATGCCACAACATTTTTGTAAAGCTGAATAAATATATTACACCGAACCCGGGTCTTTGAAGTGTAAACATCAACATACTACAGTAACACAAAACAGTCCAAAAATAACACATTTATAGCCAAATTATTTCTGCAGTATGCAATAGCCAAACAATGCAATACCTTCACCTGAAAAAAATACTGAGTAACTGTAATTTGTATTTAAGTGGTATCTGAAATGAATTACCATTCTTGTTTCATTTTCCCCCATAGTTCCCTATGACTAAAAATAAAAAGGAATTGTAAACCTAACAATTTTATTTCAGAGACTTCTGTGACAACTATAAAAGAGTACCATCAGATATGCAGATTTGAAGAAATAAGGTTACCTGAAAAGGCTTTTGTTATCTGGCATAATCCCTCTTTTCTGCAAAGGAAATGCTGGATTTCTGGAAGGAGGTTTACCTATAAGTAAAAAGAGAAGCTTTGATGATTCCGTTCAGAAAAGTGCTCTTTTGCCTGGTGCCTTCAATGGGTTTCTATTTAATATATCAGAGACACCTAATGCACAAAACTTCTGTCAGTGTGAAAAGGGAATTACAGTGCCATCCGTGCAACACAGGATAATGGAGTTAAGGATGGGCTCTTCCTCCATGGCTATAACAAAACAAAATTTTAGACTTATGGCTCTCCTCCTGGCTGCTGAGATTTCACCCCTTCCTGCCCCCTTTTCAGTTTCTGCAGCTTCTCTGTTCTCTGCCAGTTATCAATCACTGTCTCTCCCTGCAGGGAAATAGCCTTATGCCACTTGAATTGCTGTGCTTGGAAATGGTGGTAAGCTAACACAGCTAAACCACATCTAGGCTCTGAAACAAAGGACTGTGTTGCACTGTGGTATGGACATGCCAGCAGGGAGTAAGCCCAGTATTTAAAGTTACCCAGTGATATGGCCATCTGGCTTAAGTCCCTGCTGTGCTGCACACTTCTGAGAGAACTTGGATAATTCCTTTGATCACCTTGTGTCTCAGTTATCCATGTGTGAAACTTCTGGACATTTGACAGCGCTGTAAGGATTATTGTAGTGCACAGTGTTAGAGACTCAGATGTGCTATTATAGGTATAATGAGCAAGAAGCAGTGTGCAGAATCTGGGTTGTTTTATGATCTGGGATGTGAATTCAGCACATGTACATTCCTAGCAAACTGGAACCATGATAAAAATTTCCCTTTAGATACACTTAGATAAGGCATACTGTCCCAGGGAACCCCAGTGTATATGATTCTAGGTCTGCTGCGGACACAAAGTGTTTTTTTATATCCTTATGAACTTCATACATGAACTAGATGGTACCTTTTAAAAGCAGTTCTATCTCTTCCAGTCCCTCAAGACAGAGTTTATACTTTTGGGTCTTGCCATTATCTGTGGATGCATGTGAAATATAAGCCAAACTGTACCCATAGTTTGGTCACATTTTTTCAAACAAAAACCTCAGTTCAGATCTCATATTTTTACGAACAAGTCAGGTACTTAATTAGACACCTGCATATCTAAGTTACCTAAACTGTGCCGGCAACATGCTCAAGTAAAGAAAAACAACAAACCAACAAAACAAACCAACAAACCAATCCTGAAAATAGCAAGAAATATTGACACTGATGCTTTGGACTGTGAATAAGCAGATTGCAGTGCAGAGCAAGGAACTGCCATGAAGGCCCTAGAGGAGGGCAGTGGTCCAGCTCACACATTATCAATCTTAGAAGCACTGTCATTATTTGGAGAAATGCCTAAATGATGTTTAGAAAGGAGCAATTACATTAGCTGAAATCAGTAGTGATACAGGATGTGAAGCCTAAATTAATTTAGCTTTATCTTGTGCCTATGCTATTATTCTGAAATGTTTCATGCATTTGCTAGCTGTTTCTTTCCATTTCTAAATTCTCTTTTCCAGTGGGGTAAATTGCTTAAATTTCCCATGACTTCTGTAGAAGCTTTTCTGTCTGACATACTACTTGAGCGTAGCCAACAACAAAAAAAAGTTCAAGCCAAAGAAAAGAAAAACTTGATGCTCAGTTGTAACGATTTTCAGTATTTACACTGAAACATTTACAATCAAAGTAACATACTATGTCCAAATGAGAAGTTGTTTGTGATCACTGGGTGTGATATAAAGAAGAATGAAATGTTGGTATCTAACAACTATTCCTCAGTAGACAAAAAGCTTGAAAAAACTTTTTTATTGGTGTTGAGTCATGCTGCTGCAATATAAACTAAGTACTAGATGCTTCTCTTTTTGTGACTGCTGAAAATCTGAGCTAGCCCTGGCCTCTCATTTCTACAAAAAATAACATGATAATCACATACCTTCTGGAATAGCTCTAGATGATGCAAGTCTTCTATTTGAAAGCAGCCAGTACCATCATTTTTTCTGGAAGATAAGCAGATCAAAAGATCCCAAGGGCTGACACCACCTACCAGGAAAGAAAAGAAGCACATTGAGAAAGTAAATATCATCAATTCCTATTTGAACAAAAAATACTAAGATCCAAATCCTGAGGACTAGCCAACTGTTGCAATGCTGAGTACGTGAACACCTACAGGTGACACAAGGAAAAAATACATACTCACTACCACAGTTCAAGCTTTTGGAATTGTGTTAGGTATTTGATAGTTGGCAGCTCCTGTTATACTTGCCTACTGATGTCCAGTCCCCTGGTGTTTGACCTGTTTAGCATTCAGAAATGAAAAAGTTCTATAGCATGGCACTACTTTAATTTGTTCTTTTTTTTTTTTTCTGAACTCCTCAACATGCACACTTGTAACACACATCCACCACATGCAGTGTGATCTTCTGAGGTCTTTCGTTATTGGGAAGTAAATTTTACAGGAAGCAATACTAGTCATGCTATTGCAAACAGCAGGATTTTCTAGCCTGAATTTTTCTGTAGTGGCTTCTTAAATATTAGACAACAGTTTTCAAACATCTGGAACTGGTGTACAAGCAGGAATTAAGTCACACTGAGCAAGCAGCTAGCTTCTGAGCTAGTTTTGGTGCTTCCTTTCTGGAGCAAAACTAGCCTGTGAGACCATGGAGTTCTATTAGCAGGAAACAAGCAACACTGGAGTCAGAGATGGCTGGCTGAGAAAGAGTCAAAACTAAATTGTACCAATTAAAATATCATTATGGATTACAAGATAAAAATAGGTCTTGGAGTCTGCCCATATCACAGCATGTGATGTGTAGAAATGCCAGTGTAGCTTCAAAGGAGCTTGGTCAGCTCCCTCAAGTGATTATTTGTTTTCTTCTTATATATGGCCTTCGCAATCTGAACTAGTTAGAGGTAGTGTCATCTCTCAAAAGATTAACGGAATCACTGTATCTGTTGAGGACACCATGCATGTGTTCAATAAAGGGTAAACCACTTCAGTGACAAGATGACAGTTAGAAATAAAGAACTTCCGAACAGAAAGGACAGTGAGAGAAGCTGTATCGCATCCAAGGCAGGGTATAGCATTTGGTCAAAGGTCTCTGCATGACACCTGTTTCAGTGACTGGTTGGTTGGTTCTTTTTCCCAAGGTTGGGAAGATTACATGCATTTTATTCCATTTTGTGCTATCCATCTGTGATAGCTTCCTAATTCTATTAGATTACCCTCTAAATTTGGTCCCACTGGGGACCCACAGAGATATTTAGTTTGGCTGATTTCCCTCTCCAAAATTTTTTGCTATCCAATCACAATCACAAATGCCAAGCAGGATGAAGATTTCACCTAAGGAGATTTAACACACTCAAATTACCTTAAGTACAGTAATGAACTGATTGTGCAGAATGGGTCCAGGACTATGAAACTATCACCTTCATGTTTGTAAGCAGTGTGACAAAGCTGAAAAGATGAATTACCATAAAGAAAGCTTCCATTTCACATTATGAGAACCAGTATTATGGTATAAAAAGAATTAAGTCATGGGAAATTTAGGCAAGACAGATTCACTACATGCCTTTGTGAAAGAAACAAAAAAAACCCACAACACTGCAAGTAGATTAAAAAAAGGCACAGATAGATAGAAAATAAATGAGACATTAAAGAAACATACAAGCAAATACTTCATTTCAGCGCAAAAGACTGGCAGAGTTAACCTACTCAATGGCCTCACCAGCTATGTAATTATCAGATAAGAAAGATGTGCCTTTGACTAGTAAGCGCATTTGAATAAATCATTATAATTACATATAAAGCACAAAACCTAGCTGTGAGCAAACCAAAAGGAAATTGGAGGGAACTCCATTTCTCAGAAGCAGTTCATTTCCTTCCCTTGTTTATTGTTACACATCCTAGCCAGGGATGAATCTCTGACTCCAAAATATCTGCTGCACTGTGTATCATATATTTGCCTTTAGGACACAGCAGAGTGATCGATACGTATGCACCAAAGAGAAGAAAAGGAAAAAGGGCCCTCAGACCCAGCATGTTTCTGAGCCAGTGCCAATGAAGTAGAACAGCTAAGGGTTGGGAGCAATAATTTTCAGGAGGGGCTGAATGCCTGCCATTAGTTGTGTTTTCTATTTAGAGTAATTAGCCATCTAGCCAGTTATTTCAGAACAGAACAATCAGAACTGAAACATGCCTATTTATAGAAAACAGGAAACTTCCTATTAGAAAAACAGTGTACACCTAGTGCTGTCTCTCATAATCACGCTGTCAGAGCGGAATGACTTGTTTAAATGTTTCAATACATTCCTTAGCAACTACACAGGAAAAAAAATGTTCTTGGAAAACAAAAATGGAAGAAGCATGTGTTACAACAGTTAGTTCTGGAACAGACTTCTCTTTGAATAGATACAGCCTAGAAACTGCCTGTGTCATTCCTCTCACAGTTTAACTTTTTGTGGAAAATGAACATCTATGATCATGAGACCATGAGTCTGTCTCCTGCAAACGTAATGATTACAAAACTGTATCTCAGCGAAAAAGTGCTGGTGCTATCAATATTCCAGTAACACCAAATGGCCCAGGAAAAGGATCCCAAGGTTTTGGGCACTGTATTTTAACACAGAAGATCTATTTTTACAGAAATTATTTCTAAAGTAAAGCAAGATACAACATGTGAGCTAAAACATTCCAGAATAAAAGAGAAAAGAACAAAATTGACACTAATAACACAAGTCATCTGCATGGAAAAACTCATGTTTCAAAATGTTTTTAGAGATGTTCCAGCATCTGAACGGGGGCTATAGGGATGCTGGGGATAAACTATTCATTAGGGACTGTAGCGACAGGACAAGGGATAAAGGGTTAAAACTCAAACAGGGGAAGTTTAGATTGGATATAAGGAGGAAATTCTTTCCTGTTAGGGTGGTGAGGCACTGGAATAGGTTGCCCAGGGAAGTTGTGAATGCTCCATCCCTGGTGGTGTTCAAGGCCAGGTTGGACAGAGCCTTGGGTGGCATGGTTTAGAGCAAGGCGTCCCTGCCCATGGCAGGAGGGTTGGAACTTGATGATCTTAAGGTCCTTTCCAACCCTAACTATTCTATGACTCTGTGTTTAATGATGAAAGTTTAATGAAGATGTTTAAAGAAGAATGTCCATATTAGTCTGTCATCAGTGTACACACTGTTGTTTACGGCAGACTTCAAACCAGAAGCAGGCTTTAACACGACTTTTGAAGTGGAAGGTTAAAACGGATATTTCATTCCTGAACAATTTAACTACTAGCAATTTACATGAAGCTTTTTCCATGTAAAGGGCTTTATCTACAGTTAAGGAAATCTTGTCTGTTTGCTTTATTTACCAAACCAGTGGAGCTCAGCATGTGGGAGCAGACAACCAGTTAAGTCATATGAAATCCCACATCATGGAGATAGTCTCTAATGCTTTGTATAATTTTGCATTTATACAAGCACAAGAGTGGTAACTTAAGATGAGAATATACAACTATATGCTCATCCCCCCTCTGAGCATGTTTTCAAAACAAGATTTTTTAGTTCAGCCGGTTAATTACGGCCTTGCTTACACAAGGAATGTTCATCTGTAGAATTATATTTTATGCAGGTGAAGCAAATTTAATATGAATACAGCTTATCCTGGCAGCATGATGCTTTTATTAATCTATATTTTTTGCCAGCTCTTTCCCCCCACCTCTCATCCATCTTGCAGTCCCATCTTAAAAAGTGCTCCTGTACAGGAGATGTGCAGTCAGGTGAAGTTCCCGACGACTGGAAAAAGGGAAATACAACCCCCATTTTCAAGAAGGGGAAAATGGATGACCCGGGGAATTACAGACCAGTCAGTCTCACCTCTGTGCCTGCCAAAATCTTGGAGCAGATTCTCCTGGAAGGCATGCTAAGGCACATGAAAAACAACAAGTTGCTTGGTGACAGCCAGCATGGCTTCACTAAGGGGAAATCCTGCCTAACCAATTTGGTGGCCTTCTATGATGGGGCTACAGAACTGATGGACAGAGGTAGAGTAGTTGATGTCATCTACCTGGGCTTGTGCAAAGTGTTCGACACTGTCCCACACGACATTTTTGTCTCTAAATTGGAGAGACATCAATTTGAAGGATGGACCACTCGGTGGATAAAGAACTGGCTGGATGGCCGCACACAAATAGGTGTGGTCAATGGCGCAATGTCCAGCTGGAGACCAGTCCTGAGTGGTGTCCCTCAGGGATCAGTGCTAGGACCAGTCTTGTTTAACGTCTTTGTCACTGACATGGACAGTGGGATTGAGTGCGCCCTCAGCAAGTTTGCCTATGACACCAAGCTGTGTGGTTCAGTTGATAAGCCGGAGGGAAGGAATGCCATCCAGAGGGACCTTGACATGCTTGTGAGGTGGGCTGATGCCAACCTCATGAAGTTTAACCATGACAAGTGCAAGTTCCTACACCTGGGTTGGAGCAATCCCAGGCACAGCTACAGGCTGGGCAGAGAAGAGATTCAGAGCAGCCCTGCAGAGAAGGACTTGGGGGAGCTGGTCAATGAGAAAATAAACATGAGCCAGCTTCAGTGTGTGCTCACAGCCCAGAAAGCCAACCGTATCCTGGGCTGCATCCAAAGGAGTGTGATCAGCAGGTCGAAGGAGGTGATCCTGCCCCTTTATTCTGCTCTCGTGAGACCTCACTTGGAGTATTGTGTGCGGTTCTGGTGTCCTCAACATAAAAAGGACATGGAACTGTTGGAACAAGTCCAGAGGAGGGCCACAAGGATGATCAGGGGACTGGAGCACCTCCCATATGAAGACAGGCTGAGAAAGTTGGGACTGTTCAGCCTGGAGAAGAGAAGGCTGCGTGGAGACTTCATAGCAGCCTTCCAGTATCTGAAGGGGGCATATAGGGATGCTGGGGATGGACTCTTCATTAGGGACTGTAGTGATAGGACAAGGGGTAATGGGTTAAAACTTAAACAGGGGAAGGTTAGATTGGATATAAGGAGGAAATTCTTTCCTGTTAGGGTGGTGAGGCACTGGAATG